ATTTTTCAACCTTGTTTGTTCATTAATTTCTTTTATATACTTACACAAAATGTCCCCTTCTTCATCCCATTTCTTTCTCTCTCTCCCTCTCTTTTCTTTTTTTTTACCTCTTTCATCCTTTCTGATCGTCATCATTATTATTATAATCATCATCATCATCATCATCATCATCGTCATGATTATCACTATCATCATTGTCATCTCTTATTGTCTCATTTTTACTTTTAATTAATTAATTGATTAATTAATTGGTTTGTTTATTTCTTAACACAACAACGATAACTGCTAAATAAACCCTAAAAAAGTTGAAAAATTTTCTTAAAAAATTATTATCCAATTAAATTTTTTTCTCACCTTACCTTTTTTATGATTACTAAAATAGGAATTAAAGTGTAATTAGCGTAAAGTAATTTAAATAATATGTTATTTTCTTGTTTAATTAAATATATTTCTTAATCATGTCGTTTAGTTGTAAATTATCACATAGCGATGATGGTAAAATTGATTGGCAGTAGATTAAAATGGCTTTGTTAAACTAATGATCATATTGTATCATTGAGTAATTAAGATAATGAATTTAATGGAATCGTTAGACAATTAATGATTTTTATCAGTAATATATTAGCGCTATTTTTTTTCTGAAATGTCCGATTAATTAAGGTGATAAAATTTCCTTTTCTCCGCATCATCCCATCCCTACCCTATCCTTTTCCATCCTAATTGTCCACTTTAAAAAGTTCCAAGGTCATATCCGGTTATACATTCGACATTGTTTTCCTTTAATCGATCTGATAATTTAATGGTTATTGTTTGTATATTTTACACTTTTTGAAAACTACAAAATTGTCATTAATTTTTGCTTATGTATCAATCCGAAAATTTGAATTTTCGAATAGCTAAACGGAAATATTTTGATCGAATGTTGCTGGTTCTTTCAAATCATGAAAGATTTTAATGTAAAGCAAATATGTAATCTAGATTTATGATAAGTAATTTTATATTATCATTATTATTGTCATAATTATTATTATCATTTATTTATTTATTTATTTATTTTTTATTAAGTACTGGGTAAAATTTGAACTTTAAGCTTATATGGAGAGACGATTTTCCATCTTTTCTTTTCAGTTCCAAAAGTGATTCGTTGACAGAATTTGGTGATAATTTAGAAGATGGAAATATTGAAATGGCTGAAAAGAATTCAAATGAATCAAGTCCATCACCAAGTGATTCATCTAATAATGTAGATGATACCACATATACTGCTGCTGATCTTGGTTATTATCTTAACAATTTTATATTATTTTTTCAAAAAAAGTTTGATTTTTTTTAAAGTCAGAAAAGAAATCCATGATTGAATTGGCATGAATGCATATCCAACAGTTTTGCTATTTGAAAAGATTTTGATATAGCAAAAAATAATTTTGACAATTTGCTACAATATTTCAATCGATTGCTATTTCTCTATCCTTAATAATGCTCAAATTTTGTCTGCAAAAAAACGAAAAATTTTTGGAATTAATTTATACTAATTTACTCGATGTATAACTTTCACAGTTAATTTGTAAATATTTAATGCATCAATTTTGTAATAACTAATAGTTATCAGTAACTTCGATAATTGATAACTTAAAACTTAGAACTGTTTGAGAATAATTTCTTTTTCTTTTTTATAAATTTCAAATTTAAAAAATTTTTATTTTTAGCAGAGAAGCCATTTACATGTGAACATACCAGTTGCCATAAGCGATTTGCAAATAAATTTTTATTGAAGAAGCATCAATTTATACATACTGGATTACGACCCCATTGCTGTCCATTTTGTGGCAAAAGGTATCAAAACTTTTGATTGATTCTTTTTTTTTAAATGAATTTTTGTCATATATATATATATATATATAATATATATATATATATATATATATATATATATATATATATATATATATATA